CCAGTTCCCCCACCCCCTTTAGGAATCTGTTGTGGGGAACCTCGTTTTTCTTTCCCGGCAGCGAGCCCAATGCATTCATTGCCAGACGCTTCTATGAGGGCTGGTCAAGCCATCCCGCGCCTGCACATCAGCGGCACTGTTGCTGCTGCAGCGCTGTGCTGTGGCCACCAGGAGGCATATTTGTTTCCCCTCCTCTAGCATGAGGTCCGCAGCATCCACTTGGGGGACAGATTGCCTGGCACCCTGTCCCTGGGCAGGTCACCCTCTTTGAGCCAGTTTCCTGGGCTGTGAAATGGGGACAACATTAGTACTGCCCTGCGGACTAAATGAGATAACGGGTGTGAGACAGCAGAGTGTCAGCCACAGGGGCTCATGTGTTATAGTTGGCTGTGCCCTGTCCTCCTTGGCCAGCCCCTCATGTGTTAAGTTTATGTTTTGTAAGGGGTTTTGGAGATGAACGGCCTTATGCAGGTAGTGGAGGGAATAATAAAGTTGAACATTGGAGGTTCTCTTTAAAAGCACTTGTTTAGCTGCCGTATTGGACAGCGCAGACAAAGAACATTTCCATCATCTCAAAATGTTCCCGTGGGCAGTGCTGCTGAAGGAACTTGAGGATAGGGCCGTGTCTTATTCCTGTGGATCCAGAGGAACTTGCCCAGGGCTGGGTCTCAGAGGACAACCAGCAGATAACCAGTATCTTCTTGCTCCCACCCCACTCCCTGTCTCAGTGACCGGCCTCTCCATCCCCACACCTGTCAACCTTAACCATTTCTCCATCTTCACCGTCCACCCAATCCATGGCCAGATCCTGTCCATTCTCCTTCCTTATTTCTGTGGTCTGCCCTCTCACTTCTCTCTTCCATCTTTGCCACCACCCGACCTGGCTGTGGCTCACTCCCTTCATTGTCCTCCCTGCCTCCAGGAGGAATTTTCTAAAAGGCAGATCTGATTCTGTCACTCCCTTCTTAAAACTCTTGTGGCTTCTCACAGCTTCCTTGACATGACCACACAAATGCCTCATCCCTCACTACTGTTCCCCATCCCAACTTACATTTCCTATTTCACACTTCCTTTTTTTTTCTTTTTGTTAAGGCAACACATATTTATTTTCTTGCCTTTCTGGCGGTCAAGGATCCAAAGTGAGTCCTAAGTGGTTAAAATAAAGGTGTCAGCAGGGCTGCTTCCTTCTGGAGGCTCAGGGGAGAATCCATTCCTTCGAGAGGCTGCCAGCATTCCTTGGCTTGTGGCCACATCACTCCAGCCTCTGCTTCCATCATTACATCTTGCTATTCACATCCTAATATTCTCTAGGGCAGCAGTCGCCAACCAGTGGTCTGGGTGGTCCGTGAGGTCCGAAAGGTTGGCGACCGCTGGTTTAAGGAAACCTTTGGAGCAGCAGTCGCCAACTGGTGGTCCGGGTGGTCGATGAGGTCCGAAAGGTTGGCGACCGTTGCTCTAGGGCCTCAGTTAAGGTCCCCTGCTGGAAGTCTTTCTGACCATTGAGGACTGAGTTGGATGCGCCTGTACTCTCCCAGTCCCTTGTGCTTCCCCGGGGGCACATCTCTCTTCGCTGTGTCATTATTGATTTATCTGTGTGGGTTTGCTCCTTGAGGACTGAGATTGTTCCCTGCTGTATTTTCAGTACTTGGCACAGCCCTGGGCACATAGTAGATGCCTCTAAAATACTGAATGAATAGATAAGCAAAAGCAGGCTCAGTTTTTGCCCATATGGCTGATTGTTTATAGATTTATGCTATCTGGGAAATAGGGGGACAGGGTGAGAGTCACAGGAAAGTGTGTGAGTAATAAATAGCGCCATGTGTTTCTTTCCGAACAGAGGGCCGGCTCTGGGTCTCGGCGCGATCAGGCCAGGCAGCTGGTCATAGATCTGGAGACTCGAGGGAGTCAGGCCCTTCCTCTGTTCATCTCCTGCTTGGAGGACACAGGCCAGCAGAGCCTGGCTTCACTGCTGAGAGCGAGTAGCCAAGCAGCAAGGCGGGATTCGGAAGCCATCAGACCCCTGGACCTCAGGCCTGTGGTGGTCAGACCAGAGGAGCTAAGAGTAGTGAAGCAGGATCCGTTGAAGGCGACCCCAGGCAGACTCACTCCAGTGGCGTTGGGGCCAGAGGAGCGCTATCCACAGGTTCCCAGACCAGGGGTGCCCCGGCCAGTGGACATTGGTGCTGGAGGATTCAGTGATATCCGTGAGTACTGAGAGAGGTGGGCATGGCCATTGGTACAGCCAGGCAGGCTGAAGTTCCGAATTTAATTTTGGTTTTGCCTTTCTGAATACTCATAGGGGGTGGGTGGAATATTTTAATTTTGGGAGCCCCTCCTCTGAAAAGCATGTATTCTTTTCTGAATGGGTACTTTCAAATGACTCATCTTCTGCATCACAGATTCTTTCTT